GTGTTAAAAGCCTGAATATGTTCAGGGGTGGATTGTCACTTTGTTTCCATTTCTGATTATATAACTGCTTTTGAGGGGGACAGAAGAAAGCTCAACCCCAACCTAATACAGAACATTTTCTGTTCTTCCCTGCCCAGCCATTCTCCTATTGCCACACTTTGCACCTTTCCAACCCAGTGATGTGGGATGTAAACGTAATGCAGGGACTTCCTTTCTCTCCAGGCTGGCCCTAATGGCACAACTATCATATGAGTAAGGGCAGTTTCTGCTTCCTTCTTCATGGGAATAATTCCCAAGCTCTCCTCTTCTCTCTGTGTAGCAACAGGACTGGTTCCACTCCTTGTTTTTTTTGATCCCAGAGGGCCCATATTTAAGGCTTTAAAAGGGAACAGGACAAAAAATGAAATTATATAACAAGAGGGAACCAAAGTAATTGTCATCTCCCATCAGCTATCAATATTCTTTGAAGCATGAGATTTGATTATCCTGGTCACAAAAAATGCATAACAATACTGAAGGATATTAGCAAGGCTCATAAATCAGTGTTAAAAGATTAAAAGCTTTTAAAGGATTCTTTGTTGCCCTCAAGGAAGAAAACCCAACTGTCAACACCACAAGCTCACCTTTGGTTCAATCTGTTGACTCTTTCCATGTCATGAACCAGAACGATTGACAGACCCTCTGCACAGCAAACTGGGGCCAGAACATCTCACTTTATCCTCTGCCTCCCAAGGCCATTAAATGAGGTGTGTGGTGACACCTGCACAACTCATTGGTGGCTTTAGGCAGCTCAGAATGGAGCTATAATGTTTCCAGATTGGTTTCCAGGTTTAGATAGATTGGGATTACAGTGCCTGTGAGGATTCATAGTGTTCAAGCAACCAGGACATCCTTTGCCATTAGATTTCACAATGGTTTTTATCACAGAAAATGTCTCTTTCAGGTGAAGAAATTTTGGGGGCCACTCAAGAAACTCATAGGAATGAGGCCATGCTCAGAAATCCACTGTGCTTCTGCATCTATTGATTTCAATCAGGATTTTCCAGGTTCCCTGGTGACAGTGTTTAAAGCCTTTTTCACTGTGTAAAGCCAATGCTCATTTTTTTAATCCTGTTTCAGATTCACATTCATTTAATACAATTATTATTGTAATCCTCACAATACACAAGGACTTTTAATCAACATCTCAACTCTTTCTTTCTAAAACAAAAAATAAAACAAAAAAAAAAAGAGGAAAATGCTCTTCTTTCTCATTACAACAGTACCACCAGACTTCCCACCAGAAAAAGCTGCAAAGTTTTTTTGAATTTTTAGTTTCCCTTCAAAAAAATTTAGTTCCTGAAGAGAACTTCTTAGTGTGGCTTTTTGGGGGGATGACCAGTTCAGCTGCTGCTGGCCATTTTCTGTAATGTAAAAGGTAGGAAATAGCAGCAGCCTGACTTTGAATCTGGCAGCAAGTTGGATTCTTCTTCCATTCCTCAACATTTAATTGAAGCTACTTAGCACTATAATGTGTAACATACAACCTTCTTGCAAGCCCTAGTTACACTGCTCATTAGTCTGTGTACTTTAACAAGATTTTATTGACCCTATGGCTAATAGCCCACTTAGAAAGATCCCTCCCTTCCAGCATGACTGCTTGTTAGTAATGGTAGTTAGATTGCAAAGAGAAATCCCACAGTACAAAGCTATTCAAAATAAGGATGGGGGGGAGCAATATCCCAGTTTGTCCTTTAGCTGTAATGGAAAAACTAAGGCTGCTATCACTCCTCTTTTTGTGCCTGGTGTGCACATAGCTCCCAATGAGGATTTGGGTTCTGCTGTGCTAAGGCAGCTCTCAGAAACCAGCAGCCTAAGGAGCTGTGACAGGCAAAGGAAGCACTTTTAAGTCCTGTTTTCCAGATGTAAAAGTAGAATGTATAGCCTTGTCTGCAATCCCACAGAAAGCCAAGGGCAGAGCAGCACAAAGAGCTCAGGCCTCTGCTTGTTAAAGCTGCATTTTCAGCCCATTCCTGAGCATCCTTTGGGTTGGGACAGGGGAACAAAGCACTGCACCAGAGGTGGGGGAGCGCTCACTCATAGAGCTCCTGCTGCTCAGCAGCTCCAAGTGCACCGAATGCAGAGCTCCCAGAGTTCTCTGCAGCCAGCCGTGCCACCCAGGCATGGAATTCACTGCCATAAGATGATGTTCACTCAAAGGCTGCCACTGAGTTTCTCGAGGGTTTGAAAAAGCTGCTTAGTTTAGGTGATGGGACAGCCTTTCTTTTTTTTTGTGAGGGTTTAGTTTTTACAGGGTCCAGGCCTGCAGGGTCCAGGGCTGAGTGTTGATGTTGAGCTGCTGAACTTCAGACAGAATTGTGCTTTATTTTTCATGGAAGAAGACTCTTTTTATTTAGTTTTATTTATTTACCCAGGAGTGGCAGAAACAGATGTTTCTCTTGCTCACAACTTCACCAGAAGTTTCTCACAAAACTTTTAGCAGATGTGATACTGGAAAAATAAGCCAAAACAAACCAAACAACAGCAAAACCCACCCTTGTACCAGGCTAGACAGGAAATCTGTTTCTTTGCATATATGTTTCACAGGGCTGGTGAATGCAGCATGCTAACTAGCTGTGACTGCAGCACTGCCAGGGGTAGAGGACTTTAGAATGGTTTTTGCTCTAGTAAAAAAATTTAAAATAAACCACAACATCATCAAAAAACCTCACCCCAAACAATAAAACATGGGCATAAATAAGGGGAAGGGAAGAAGAGACAGAAACCACCAGGAAGGTCAGGTGGTTAAGTATTTTTGGACTGCCAAGGTGGTGATCTTAAGTGAAGATAATGTATTATGCAGTGGAAAGCTAATGAGACCAGGTCTGTTAAACACAGACTTGGTGTTATTTAGCTCTGGAGTGCTTCAAATTACACAGGCACGGATTGTATTTGATCACTGCTCCCGCCCTGACAAAGTGAGCAGCAGGCTTTTATATAATGTAAGTGATCATATACTGTGGGGAACAATCCTATGCTGGCAGGGGAGGCCAGCTGATGACATAATGGGTCTTTTCCATCTCGAAGTTGTGTGATTCATCAATTAAACGAATTCGGTGGGATAAAGGAGCATGAAAGGGCACTGTCCCTGCCTGACGATTAACCCTCCCAATTCCATCCACACCGCTCGGGATTTAGCCTCCACCAGTATGTCCAGGAGGCTCCGGTTGCGCAGCCCCGGTCGGTGCCGAGGCGGGCCGGGGGTCGGGGCCAGGGGGCTCCGGGCACTGGGGGCGCAGCCGCCGCCCTCCGGGGCCGCGGCCGGAGTCCGTGCGGGATGTGCGGCCCCGCTCCGCCGCAGGTGCTGCGGGGGGACCAAGCGCTGTCCCGCCGTCCCTCGGCGCGTCGGGAAGCGGCTGCTTGGCGCACCTGCCGGCTGCCCAGGATCCCGCTGGCTTCCGCAGCCCCATCCCACAGCCCCATCCCGGGGCCGCCCGCATTGCGTCGGGGGCGCGGCGCGCAGCGTGCGGGGGCGGCCGGCCTGGGGGCAGCGCGCATCCCTCCCTCCTCCGCCAGCCCCGGCCCCCGGCTCCCCCGCCCTCCCGATCCCCGAGCTGCACCAAAGAGCTCTCAGGTTTCTGCTGATACTGCAGCGTCAAGAAATGGCTCGAGTTTGCTCCTCGCTCTTATGCATTCAGCAGCCCTCTCGCTCCTGCCACATGCGTCCAGTTCCTGCCTCCTCCTGCCTCCGCCGCTGCTGCTGCCGGGACGAGCCAAGACCGACTCCGGGGATGCGGCTGCAGGGCTGCGGCGCTCTGACATCTCCTGCGCCGCCGCTGCCCAGCGCCCGGCTTCTTTTCCAGCTGTCCTAAGGGAAGAGAGCTGGAGAGCCAGCAGCTATCTAGGACTCCTTGATTCATACTGACTCACCCAAGCCTTTTGGAAAAGGTACTTTGCACTCTTTTCCACGCACACCCCCCACTCCCCACTGCGGTTCTCAGCAGAAACTAATTAAACCCACTCGCCCTTGGTGCAGCCTAAGACAGTGTATGAATATTTCAGTGTCTCGCAGGCAGCCCTGTAAAGCGATCGCTGCGTTATAAAGAGGGGCGCAAGAGGAGGAGGAGGAGGAGGGTTAAGTTTGCCGCTGCGGTTTTTGTTTTGGTTTGGCTTTTTTTGGATGCTGCTGCAAGGCGACTTGACGCATTCCGGCACTGGCTCCTACTCCTAAGCGGCGTGTCTCACCCGGAGCAGGTAAGGAAAAGCCCCTTCTCCCTGCCGATGTTACACTCGATTTTGGACGGTTTGGGTCTGGGATGTCGACCTCCCTCCCCTCCTCTCTCTCTCAGTTACCTTTAGCTGCTGCAAAGCAGGAGAGGAGATGCTATGCTCCCCCTCCTTCCTAATCTCCCCCCCCCCCGTGTGATGAAGTTGTCAGTGCTCAGCTGAGTCTCCACAGCGGGGAGCGCGGTGCTCGGGAGACTCCTTGCAGGAGCTGACCCCGCTGAAGTTTCCCGGGAAGCCCTCCCGATGAGTTCTGGGCACCTTCTTGCCTCGGAGGCCTTGGTGCACGTCCGGGGATGTGTAGGAACGCGTAGAACTCCGCATGTACTGCTGTATTGGGCAGAACGGGATGTTCCTGCTGATGTGAAAGCCAATCCATTGCGCCTGAGTGTGTGTGTGTATGTGGAGGGGCTTGGGGGCTGGTTTATTCTGTTTCTCTCCTCCCTGGCAGCCTCCATCCTGCAAGTGAGCTTTATGCCTTCAAAGCAGAGTATTTCCATCCCTCCCTCCCTCCCCAGCACAAAAGAGGAGAGGACCAGGGCAGTGGTGGTGGTGGTGGTGGGAGGGAGAAAGGAAGAGGCAGGTGATGGAAATTTGCTGAGTTGGCATTGCAAGGACTCACCTCCCAGCCAGCCCGTGATTTATATATTTATTTCTATATTTATTTATTTATTTTATGTGTATGTGCGTGTGCATGTGTGTGTGTGTGGTAGCTTCGTGGCAGCAGCTGCAGCGATGGTCGAGCCGGCGAGAAACGTGGACGGATCGAGTTAAAGGCTAAAGGAGACAGCTGGGGAGGGAAACCCCAGCCTGGGGGTGCACTCCACAGACCTTCAGCCTCCCGGTGTGGGGGACAGGACCCCTCACCTTACCTGCCCTCTGCCCCCCCTAAAGGTACTTCTTCCCTCTTTCTTCACCTTCCCATCATCCCTGATGCCTCTCCCTTCATTCCACCTCTCTTTTCCCCTTTTGGGTATTTCCATCCTTTAGGCTCCACTTCCACCCCTTCCTCAAGCTCCCTATCCCACCTCAACCCCTCCACCCTTGAATCGCCCTGGGTCTCTCTGTGCTTCTCCATCCTCCTCCTCCTCCTCCCTTTCCCTCACTTCTCCCCTGCCCCTTGGTCCCCTTTCCTCTGTGCCACCATGACCGTGATGGCTGGAGAGAACATGGACGAGACTTCTGCGCTACCTGGCCATCCCCAGGATAGCTACCAGCCCGCTGCCCACGACGACCACGAGTGCTGTGAGCGCGTGGTGATAAACATTGCGGGACTGCGCTTCGAGACACAGCTGAAGACTTTAGCCCAGTTCCCCAACACGCTGCTGGGCAACCCCAAGAAACGCATGCGCTATTTTGACCCTTTGCGCAATGAGTACTTCTTCGACCGCAACCGGCCCAGCTTCGATGCCATCCTCTACTACTACCAGTCCGGGGGACGGCTCCGCCGGCCCGTCAATGTCCCCCTGGACATGTTCTCTGAGGAGATAAAATTTTATGAGCTGGGCGAGGAGGCCATGGAGAAGTTCCGAGAAGATGAAGGATTCATTAAAGATGAGGAGAGACCCTTGCCGGAGGGGGAGTACCAGCGCCAAGTGTGGCTCCTCTTTGAGTACCCAGAGAGCTCTGGGCCGGCAAGGGTTATTGCCATAGTCTCTGTCATGGTGATCCTCATCTCCATTGTGATCTTCTGCCTAGAGACATTACCTGAGCTGAAGGAGGACAAGGAGTACACAGTGCATCGCACTGACAACACCACCCAGGTCTATAAATCCAACATCTTCACAGATCCCTTCTTTGTTGTGGAGACCCTGTGCATCATCTGGTTCTCCTTTGAGCTGGTGGTGCGCTTCTTTGCTTGCCCAAGCAAGACTGATTTCTTCAAGAACATAATGAACTTCATTGACATTGTGGCCATCATCCCTTACTTCATCACCCTGGGCACTGAGATGGCCGAGCGGGAGGGGACTCAGAAAGGAGAGCAGGCCACCTCCTTGGCCATCCTGAGAGTCATCAGACTGGTAAGAGTCTTTCGAATCTTCAAACTCTCCCGGCACTCTAAGGGCCTCCAGATTTTGGGACAGACCCTCAAAGCAAGTATGAGAGAGCTAGGTTTACTAATCTTCTTCCTCTTCATTGGGGTGATTTTGTTCTCTAGTGCAGTGTATTTTGCTGAGGCTGAAGAACCTGAGTCTCATTTCACAAGTATCCCTGATGCTTTCTGGTGGGCGGTGGTATCCATGACCACTGTGGGCTATGGTGACATGTACCCTGTGACAATTGGAGGCAAAATCGTAGGCTCCTTGTGTGCCATCGCTGGTGTGCTGACAATTGCCCTGCCTGTACCTGTCATCGTGTCCAACTTCAACTACTTCTACCACCGAGAAACAGAAGGGGAAGAACAGGCTCAGTTACTTCACGTTAGCTCCCCTAATTTAGCATCTGACAGTGATCTCAGTCGCCGCAGCTCCTCCACAATCAGCAAATCTGAGTACATGGAAATCGAAGAGGATATGAATAATAGCATAGACAATTTTAGAGAGGCTAATCTCAGAACTGGCAACTGCACTGTAGCCAATCAAAACTGCGTTAATAAAAGCAAGCTGCTGACTGATGTGTAAACAAACAAACAAACCCAAAACAAAATCCCCACTCACAGCTTGAAGACTTTAGTGACACAGTCACACTTTGTAGATGCTTTACTGATAGTCTTTGAATGCTTTATTTACCTCGTAAATGCATTGTTGCATTGCAAATCTCTGCTCTGCGATAAAGAAGCTTCCAGGATCCATGAAAGACAAAATTTTGTTTATTTTCAAAAAAACATTTTCCACCTGGCAAATGATAACCATTTGAACTAGTTTAGTTTTAAGCCGTTATGACGCTAGACCTAAACTTTTCCTCTCCTATCTCCTCTTTTTTTTTTTTCTTTTACTTTTCTTTTACTTTTCTTTTTTTTTTTTTTGGATAAAGTTATCTTAAACTAAACAAGACAGTTTTTAGAGCTATTAAGCATATGCATGGATTCCAGTAAAAATATTCTGCAAAACTACACAGTTGCAAGAAAGTGCATCAGATTATAATAGTAAAAAAAGATCAGCCAAAACCTGCAGCAAGCATTTGCCGTGGTGTTTATGAAGGAGTGCAAATTTTCCTTCCGCCCCCTCTGTGAATGATTCCGTCCTTCCAACCTACAGATCCACACAGCACCTTATTAAAAAACCTAATTAAGCCTGATCTCTTTTGCTGTCCGTAGAAGAAATATACTAAAAGGAGAATAACAAACAAAACGGAAGACAAAACATCTGCAATGCTGCTAAGTCCTCTCACATGCAGATGATAGAAACACCCTTCCTCCCCCCCCGCCCCGCCCCCCCCCCCCCCCCCCCATTCAGAACTGGATACAAAACTTTAAGCCCCTCTGTTGCAAGATAGCACAATGGAGTTTAATATAAGCATGTTTGAATTTGATACTATTTATTTTATGATCGCATGTTTGAAACGTTACCTCAGACAATAGCAGATAAGCTTTCGTTTGATCTGAGTCTTCTAAAAATAGGTCCTTTCTCCTCTCTTTTTTAATTTCTTTTCTTTTTCTTTTTGATTTGCATTCACCAGAAGTGCACTCCTTAATTTATTAAATTGTTGACTAGTAATTTAAAGTACTGTATTTAAGTGCATATGTTAGTCAAATGGGAACAATAACTTTTGGAGATCAAAGCATGTTCAAATATTCAGCATTATGGCCTATTTGATTAAAGTGTAACTTGAATTAATTAGTGCATGAATTCACTGATAATAATAATAATAATGATGATGATAATAACAACAATAATGATAACAATAAAAGCAAAAAAAAAAATGTACTGGATAGGCTGAGGGCCTGAATGAACTGATTAGAGAAACCTGATTGTTTTCCTGCATTGCTCAGGGAAATGTGTTGGCTTTTGTCCAGGCTTTGTCAGAAAGGAACATATCCCATCCCTTAAAGGGAAAGCTATATGGAAAACTAACAAGTCAAGTTATATATAGCAACAGCTAAAAACCTAGTATCCTCTATAGATGAAAGGTGCAGATGCATGCTTTTTGGTGCATTCTCAGAATGTAAATGAAACTTATCTATTATATGCATCCGAATTGCAGCAGCTGGTTTCTTTTGCAGTCATCAGTTGAGACTTTTTCATATCCCCCCCAAAACTCACTGAAGAGACCCAGCAGACTGATTGAGAGAGTTGCGCAGTGCCTTTATCTTACACCCCCCAAAACTGCTGAAAGTGCCTCCAGGATCTGAGTGGATCAGAGACACCGAGGGAAAGGACAAGGAGTCAGTCAGTCCTGTGTGTGAGGAGTGTCCTGTGCTGTCTACTGGCACAGCATGTAGAGGTTTAGGGATAGAAAGATCAAGTGTGAGTGAGAGGCATGCAGAAGAAGAAGGCAGAGACCACCAGTGTCCATGGAAATACCTTCCTTCCCCAGCCAGTCTGATTCTGCAGGGCTCTGCATTGGCTTCTGCCAAATAACTCCTAGCTGTGTACATGCGAGGCTTCAGGTTTCCCCGGGTTGTTCATATAGGCATCACTGCCATCACTGTATCTGCCCTTCCTTTCCCTGAGGTAGGCCTTTGGCAGCTTGTCCCTGCAGGGCAGGGCACAGGAGGAACGGGAGCCTGGGCATCGCCCAGTCAGGCAACCAGACTGGAGGACTGTGCTCTTCTTTCTCTAAGGTTGCCCAGCAGATAGACGGGAAAGGCTTTGCCGGGCCCTCCCATCCCTGTCTGCTCCATCGTCTTTTAGATCTTAGATCATATCACAGCCTTTGAGCCATGTTCTTCTTCCTGGTCCCTGATCTTCCTGGTGAGGGAAGCAATGCTAGGAGAAGGTATCTTCTGCAACATGCCAGCCTTGACTGCTAGGCCCTAGAAGATAATGACCTTTGATCTGAACAAAGGTATAGGCACTAATCTCAATTTTTCAAATGGACAAAGTTTAAGATCTTCATTCTGCACTTAGCATGTGGCCAACTGCTGTTGAACACATCTCCTTCCACGCTGTACAGATCCTTTCCTCTCCTATCTTTCCAATATATGTATATATGTATATATATATATATATATATATATATATATATATGTCTGCTCCTGTGTGTGTCACACACGTATGCAGGTACATGTATATATAAAATAAAATCAAAGCACTTAGAATTAAAAACCAACTCTAACTCTGCAGTTACGCACAAGCTTGACCTGCCAGGTCTCCAGAAAGACTTGTCTTTATTTCTCACTGTGTGACTTCTGTGAATCTTAGTGATGAGAAAGATCAAGAACTGAGGGAGCTCCAATTCCTGCAAGAAGTGCAAAGCATCAGATAAAACAGGGCATTACATCTTCTAGGTAGATATTGTAAAGCTCCTTTCCTGTCCCCTGTTCACACCCTTGCCCTTTGTATACTTCTCTCCCCATTAAATTCCAATGGTCCTGATCTTCCCAACCCCTTGAATCATATGATATGACTTCTGATGTCAAAATGAACTTGAACGCTGCACTCAGCTTACAAAACCACCATCTGACTAAACTAAACAGCAATAATAAATTCAGTGCTATGGGACTGATGGTCAGAAGGATGCATTTGGGAGATGAGGCCTCACATGGGTACCTTCTGCCCCAGCTGGGTGTGCACACCTTAATTTAATGTGCAGAGTGATGATCATTCTGCTTATGCACAGAGAAAAGTACTGCATGCAGCGATTTTTGGTCAAGAGACTGGGATAGATCATAAGAACTCATGGTTTGGGGAGCCTGAATGTTGCTTTGTCCATTTATAGCTCACTGCAAAGGATCTCAACCCATATGGAGTACAGGAATTAACCTCATGTAGCATAGGCATGCGTTTTCAACAAGTTTGACACAAAAAAATAAACAACAAAAACAAGGTTCTTACTCCCTTTACACATGAGTGCTGAAATGTCTTTGTGGGCCTGAAGGTGCACTTAACAAACTGCCTGTTCTTATCAGCAAGCATCCTTTTTTTATTTCTTTATTTCTTTCTTTTCTTTTTATATATCTCTCTTTTTTTTTTTCTTTTGGCCCTTATGTTTCTTTTTGCCACACGTGGACTCTAAGGGTTTTTTTATGTAACTGGAAGAGGACTGGAAATGAGCTAATGGCCAGTGTAGTGCTTCTCTGAAAGAGTCAAGAGAATTCCTTTGGTAGGGACCTCCTGGAAGTGATGCCCACATTATGCTGGACAGGGAACCCAGTGGATATTGCAGTCTTTAGTTTGGTGAGGGGAAGAAAGCTTTTCCAGCAGAAGGAGTCATTCCCCACACGCCCACCACCACCCACTGCTCTGTGCCTCTCTGTGCTTCTTAGCTGGTCCTGTGCAGCTTTTCCTTCATCCACTCAGGGAGAGGGGTGAGGGAATTTACCTGGCAAGGGCAAGGAAGCAGTGCACTGCAGTGCAGAGACAGGAACGGAGCAGAGAGTCAGTAGGCAGGAATCCCATAGACTGGTATCCCCTCCAGAATTCCCCATCCGGTTCTAACATACTTAGCTCTAGACCACTAGGGAGGGGCAGAGAAGCAAGGGTGAGAGTGAAAATGAAGGACTCTGTACCCTGTTCCTTCACAGAACCCAGGGCTTGCTGCAACACTGCCGAGAGCTCTAACCCTCTGTGTGGCAGCTCCAGCACAGGCCATGAACTGTATTTAGTCACCTTTGTGAGGAAGTTGGTGTGCAGTTAGCCAGGCTGTGAGTTCACAGCATCCTAGCAAACCTGTGCAGATTCCCTGCATGGGGTGTCCTAAGCCTTATCTCCACCGGGGACTTCAGGAAAACTAATCCGAATTAATGAAAGGTGTGCATTTAAAGGAGATTTGTTGAACTGCTTTAAAGCCCAGCATGGACATTCTGTTGCAGTATTAAAGCAACCTTAATCTGATTTGGAGTCATTCTTTTTGAAAGGGAAGTAACCTGAATTGAATTAAGGCTGCTTTAATTCCGAACACAATGGGGCTTAATGCAGTTTACCTCATCTGCCTCACAAGCTCATTCAGACAGATAAGCCTGTAGTAATCATTACATGTGCTGGAAGTGACCCCATTGTGCAGGGGGTGCCCATGTGCACCAAAACTCTGGGTAAATGAGTGCTGCAGATTCACAGCCTGGCTTACTGAGGGGAAAACTAACACTTGATCGTGGTGCTAGTTCTGGTGAGTCCCTCCCTTTGTTGCTGGTTTACACCTTTGTGTGGATAAGCCACCCTGCTGCCTTCAGGGAAGCCGAAAACAATTGTGGCTGAAGGAAATTCATTTCCACTTTACAGAACTGCACAGGTGCTAGCCTGATGTACTGTTAGTCACATGGACAAGAACTTGTGAGACAGAACGAAGCACTGGAGACAGGACAAAATTCAGCCGAAGTCATCTTGTTTGCAGCAGTGGTTTTTGCCCACGCAGAGATTTCAGAGATCAGACCCTTCTTAGCAAACCAGCCGCGTGTCGTTCATTGTAGGCTGCAGCTGCCCAAACTGGCAACAGGAGCAGTGGCAACTTGTATTGACAGGGTTTTTTCTATACCAAGGGACAATAGTTTTCATGAGGCAGAAGTACAGGAAGTTAGTTTCTA